AAGGTATGCATATGAAACAATGGCAGTTCCACCAGGTAAGACATCTAGTTTGGTGCCAGAGCCAGTTTGGTGTAGTGGTTAAGTGTGCGGACTCTAATCTGGGAGAACCGGGTTTAGAAAGGTATGCATATGAAACAATGGCAGTTCCACCAGGTAAGACATCTAGTTTGGTGCCAGAGCCAGTTTGGTGTAGTGGTTAAGTGTGCGGACTCTAATCTGGGAGAACCGGGTTTGATTCCCCACTCCTCCACTTGCACCGGCTGATGTGACCTTGGGTCAGTCGCTGATGTGACCTTAGGTCAGTCAGAAGCTCAGGCACAGCTGTCCTTGAAAAAGAGCAGTTTCTGTCAAGAGCTCTCTCAGCCCCACCCACCTCACAGGGCGTCTGTTGTGGGGAGGGGAAGGGAAAGGAGTTTGTAAGCCGCTCTGAGACTCCAAGTGAAGGGCGGGGTATAAATCCAATCTCCTCCTCCTCGTCCTCCTTCTACATTTCTAAAGGCTATTCAGAGGCCACCTAGCAAATAGCCCTGTCTCCAGAACCTCACACAGCCCTTTTGTGTGGTCCCATGTCTATGTTCTCTCTAAGCTGTGGAGGCTTGTGAGCAGAAATTCAACTTTGTGAGCTCCTGGCATTAAAGTTGTGAGTGAGCGATTTGGCTGCTGCATAACTTAGTTTGCTCTGGAGCCATCCTTCCTGCGCAAAGACAGAAACGTGTGAGCCGGAAGTTTAAAAAGCTGTGAGATAGCTCCCACTTACTCAGCTGAGAGGTAACACTGATCCCATGTCTATGTGTAAATTCTTTGTCTCAATACCGGCCCTTCTTTGCTCCATCGCTCGGGATACCGAGACAAACCAATCAAACATTCAAATTATTAACGATCCTTCCTGATGCTAATCAGGGGCCCATCTCCCATCTTTTGTCTGCATCTGGGAACCTATTCAACTGCCTTGGCAGAACCATCAATGGACATCAAATCCATTCAGTAAAGAAATCCCTGCTTTAGTAATCTAGCCTCTGCATCTATTTCTGGGACTGGGGAATCAAACTCCCATATACACAGGTTCTGATCCTATATTTAATGCCTATTGTCATTTAATACTCATAATTCCCCACAACTATTAATAAATAAGGCAATTTGGATAATGCTACCCCCAACCTGGAACCAGCCCTGAGCAAGACCGAGGGTCTGACAATATAAGGCCACTGCGTACACTTATTGCATAACAAGCCTTTGGGTTCCTTTCCACATCCTTATTTGAACTCGCTTAGACATCTGCAAAACTTAACTGAACCCTCTCGCTCTCCGCTGTCTCAACGGCCAGTCTCTTCAGCCTTTCCTCACAAGACGCCTCTTTTCACACACATACCCGCCTCCCCAAATTACCTAGTCTGACTGATCTTCTCTTGGAGCCGGTCCCAAGAAAATGGGGAGTGCGGAGGTCTTGACATCTGTTGTCTTGCTTGGCTACAGCCCAGAGGAGGCCCAGGAGAGACTGAGGTCAAGGGCAGTTGCAGAATGGAATTACGCCTCGTTGCCTCCATTTCTCCTCTTTCAGGATTGCTTTCATGCACTACCAAACTCCACCCCCCCCCCATCTAGGTAGATCTGCATTTGATTACCAGATACCTGAAATTGGGTCAAGGTGGTGCTTAGAAGACTTCACGGACCGAGGGGAGGGACGGACCAGTGCATGTCTAATTATGCTTTTCATTAAAACAGTCACGAATACAACATGGACTGCTGTCCAACAGTGACTGGCATTTGCCTTTTTGTCCCACTGGGTCTTTCAAGATGGGGCAACAGCACTGGTACAAAGAAGAAAAAGAAGAAGAGGTTGGATT